ATATTAAATTATTTACATGTTATAACTGTATTGTATTCACTATTAGATAATAAATATTAAATTATAATAATAAGATATAATATTTTATTCAAATAAATTAACTATTATTAGTATAATAAATTTGAAATATAAAAAAGATTCTGAGCGAGAACAGTTATCCAAAAAATTAAATGCATGTTATGATATATTTATATTGCATTTATAATAATTTAGTTCATTACTTATAATACGAATGTTTTCGTTGAAAATATTGCGTTTATTGTATAATTAATACTTAATAGTTAATTGTTATAACTTATAATAGTATAAAATGTATAGACATGTATTATTATTGTTATTAACTTTTGAGTATATACTCAAGTCCATATCGACTTACCGTAGAATGATGTTAATATGATAGTGGTATAAATAAATATAATACTATAAAATTAATCTAAATGTTTTGAAAATTTCTATTTGTACAAAATAAAATATAATTAAAATACATGACAATTTAAAGTCTCATAATTAATATATTTGAATTAAAACATAAACCTAAAATAGTTATTCTAAATTTATATATTTAATTTTGACAACATTTGTACTTAAAATATCTATGAAACAATTTATGTTTGAACATTTTTTTTTAATTTTTGATATCAGTATTTAATATATACAAAAAAATAATATCAATATTTAAATTTAAGACGATTATAAAAAATATTTGTTAAATTACAGTTTTATAATTCTAGTAAAAAAACCGTATAAAAAATTTTGCATTATATTTTTAAATCTTAACTATAAATGTTAAATTTTGTATGAATTTTTAATTACTCAATAACTTGCAAATTTTCGGAATTATGATAATTTTCATTAGCTTTTAAATTTTTTATTCAAAAAAAATATTATGACTATATTTTTTGATTAATTTATACATACATTTTTTATTTACTATAAATAATATAATTTTAAAAATATTTTCTAATTTTTAAGCTATTTAAAAATTTTTTTTTATAAATGTCGATAAGATTTGCTCGAGAAAAATATTTAAAATTAATACAAGGTTCTTTATATGTTTTTCAATTTTTATTAAAAAAAAATTCTGCTGAAAAGCAAAATATTTGGGTGTTTGAAGTATGAAGTTTTACGACCTCTCATATATTTTATAACACAGCTATTTCTTATACACAAATGTTGGTACTTTGTTGTAATTAAAAAGCAAATAACCGTAGATATTTAAATTTTCATTAAATGTTTGTATAATCATTTTCTATACAAAATAAAATATTTTCAAACTATTTCGATTGTTTTGAATTATTTATAGATATTTTTAATTTTCATTATTTTGTTATTTTATTTCTATAAATATAGATACAATATTTTTCACTCAGTAGAAGAGTTTAAAAATTAAATCCAAGATCCTACACTACCTATTCATACTATATATAAATATTTGAAATATACAAAATCGATTAATTTTTATATGCATTTTAAGTTCAGATTTTGATAAAATTCGTTAAAACTACGTAGAATTTGCAAATTGTTTTATAGCTGACAATATTTATAGCTAATGATTCAAAATTTAATTCTAAGTTCCTCATAAGTAACTCATATTATACTGAAACTAATAAAAATCTAAAATCTATATACGTGACATATTTTTTTTTCTTTTTGTATTCATTTAAAATTCAAAATGAATAAAATTGCATATTTAAACTAATGATATTCATTATCATTTTGAAAATTGGATATTTTTAAAAGTATTTTTTTTTTTACCTTACATAAAATGAGTAATTAAAAATTTTCATTTATGTTATTTAATAAAAAATAAATAAATAATTAAAAATAAAAACACATAAAAAAAAAAATATCATTCAAAATTAATACATTATTATTTTCATCCAGAATTTAATATAATTATCGGGTAATTCTGATTTTTGTGACTTTATCTACTTTAGACTGTAGTTTTAATAACTTGTCTAACTTAATATAGTTCTAAATCGATATTTCTAAAAACTGTGTATCATTTAGGTAGGTTACAAAGATGCTCAAAATATTCAATAGATATATAACTGTTTTTAAATATTATCCTAGAAATATTCAACTTTTTGATGCATTCCATAATACATTTTCAAATATATTCTGAAACTTTTTATGAAAAAATTTAAATTTTAAAATTAATAAAATTAATGATTATATGCGTACGTTTCATAGAATAATTTGGTATTATTAGTACTAGGATGAAAAGTATTTACTGGAAAAAAAATCCATACATTATTGTAAAGCTGACAGCTTTCTTTTTTTCTAGAATCTAAAATCAATACACATGAAAGAAAGACAATTACAAATTAATAGATGATTGATGATTTTAATGGTGAGACATTTAGACATTTCTGGAAAAAATATTTTCTAATGGGTTAAGCAATATAATGTTGTTTTTAATAATTGTTTAATAAAGCATTAAAGAACATTATTATTTCAAAGAAATATTGTTATGAAAAGAATAATTTACCAGAAATGATTTAAAAAATAAATTACAGAAGTCTCAATAGATCTTAACGAATACCTTAAAATAATGAATTCTTTGAAAATTTCAGTCTTTAATTTTTATTAAAAGCCAAATGTTGTGGAAACTTTGAACACCTGATTTTTGTAGACTACCATAACGTGTTGGAGGATAAAAATTGAATTTAAATTCCATTACATTGTTATCGAGTGATGAGGGATTAAAAAGTAACGTTACTCTATGTAGGAAAATTTGAAATTATTTTTCAAATCCCTTTAGAAAGATTTTCCACTTACATAATCTACTAAATGAATCTCCGAAGGTCTGAATTTTGTTGATCCCCTTCTTTGAAATACTAAAGTTTTTCAAAAGAAATAAAATTACTTTATTCGCATAACGTTTTAATTAGTTATTTCAACATCATCAGAATAATATAATAATAATAAATATTAATAACCGTATTGTCAAGAAACATATTATACGCGTATAGGATTAAGAAATAATTCTTAACGAATCTTACACCGTCTTAAACTCAAAATAATACACCAAAACTAATTAGAAACTTTAAAATAATTGTGAAATCGTTTAATTTTTATTTTATTTAATACGATTTTTCATATTTCCATTAAAAAATCAAATACTCTATAAAGTAATGTAGAATATTTTTTTAATAATTCCTGTATGCGATAAATTAAATAAAAAGTCTCTATGATATATTTATTATTTATTTATCATCTATATTTTCATAGCTTTTGAATAGCATGTAATGTTAATGAATATAAAGTACATTTTCCAAACAGCTATAATTTATATTATTGAATATCGGCATTAAGGTTATTGTATAAAAATACGTTAAAAAAAAAAAATTATATTTTTTATAAAAATATAACACCGATAATAATTGGTATTCACATTATTTCAATGACAAGATTTTTTGAATGCACAGTCTTTTGCATAAGAAATTAGGTTATTTTACTACTTGAGCATTAAAAAGATCCTTAAAAACTCTTTAAAGATAATATTTGATTTTTTATGTTCGCGAGAAATATTTAAAGAGTATCAAAATTATTTAAGCAAAATATTTATTTTAGTTTTATACAAAAAAAAAAATATATATATATAATACACATATTAGTTTTGTTGTAAATCACATGTTTTATGCCATAAATAACAATTTTACTTTTATTTCGATAAAAATTAAAATTCAACTATACAGAATGTAGATATTTAAGCCATTAGATTAGGTCAAAACCATCGCTGTTTATTGTGTAATATTAAAAAATACAACAATGTCGCATAAGACGTGCTCTGTAAAGGCCCTCGAGATGTATATATAAAATTACGTGTACACTTGTAAAAATAAAATGTGTGTAAAATGTATTATTATATCATAAACAAAGTAAGAAATTCAGTTATATTACGCGGGTCTGGATTACAAATCACTAATTCTTTACACGTAATCGTCTTAGACTATCGCTGCGGTTGGACTATTCCAATACCACCGCTGCAGGATCGTACGGGCGCCTAAGGGTGACAACGATAATTATTTTTCGCTCCACTTGACCCTCTGGGGAGTATTTCGAGCAAAACGCGCGCGCGGGTAATACTTTGCAATGATGGAACGAAAAAACAAACAAAATAAAACGACGATAAATAACGCGGACGACGATCGATATAACATTATACGGCGAGTATAACATGGTAAAATATTATATCATGGCAATATAACAAAATATAGCAAACAGCTATTTTAAGGTGTTCCAAATTGATTATGCCGATATAATAGTAATAAAAACGTGTATAAACAGGCAAGACGCAATTAGTTCAAATTGGTTTTCGTGTACACCGGCGCATCAGCGCACTACGAATTGCATACACGAGGCGCCGGCTTACGTAAAACCGAAATGGGAAAATCCGTGTACTCAAATATTTTTATAAGTCGCGCTGGGGTGGATGTAGGAGGATTCGCCGAAGTGTTGGTTGGCCGGGTGAAAGTAAGAAAATTCCGTTGTCAGCCGCAAGTACATAATATTATAGAACGATGATGAACAACGACGACATTATTATGTAATCGTTATATTAACACACGATTCAAACAAATTTGATGCTTTTGGACGTATATTTTTTTAATTTTGTTTTCTTTTTTTTTTTCTTTTTTACTTACTCTTACACGCATTGTACTATGCGTATACGATCAGATAATCAGAAGAATATGATGCCTTGTGATTTTTTTTTTTTATTATTATTTATTATTTCCTCGCGCCATACCCGCACCCACCTCCGTACCAAATGACGATCGACGACGACGACGACTACGACTATGACGACGACTTCCCCGCTGCCACCACTGCCACCGAATATATGAGTTGTGCGCGTGTTTGTTGTTCAATAAACCCCATCGCCGACCGGGGTCATATTTGGTCATGCGCATTCCGCCATCTGTCGGAAAACGGTCGTAGTCCGTCTACACGGGTTTTCGCCCAAATCGAACGTGCCCCAGTAATGCGGCCGCGTCCGTCTGCAAGCCTACTGTCGACGACGACGGCCAGTGTGTAGCAGGTTTTTTTTAATTTTAATTTTTTTATTATTATTATTTTAAATTTTATTATCATCGTCATCGTCGTCTTCGTTGTTTTAGTTGTTATTGTAGCTGTTGTTATAATTGTCGTTTTTCTATTATTATTATTACTACTGTTAATTTTATTATCATTATCGTCATCGTTATACCACTGTATTATCATAATTCGGTCGGCCGACGACAAGCACCTGACCACTGCTGCAAGTTTTTGTCGTCGTCGTCATTATTTCGTATTTGTTTTTATTTTTTAAATAATTCTTTTGTCCGTTCTGTGTATTCGCGTTCGCCCATAAATCGTACACGTTATCGTAATATACAACCCGTAAAATAATATTTTATTGTCGTGTCACCGTTTTCTGCTGCCGTTTTACGAGTGCTCGGAATATCGTCGACAAAACTGACTGTAGACCGATATGTTGGTGCGGTCGCGTCCCGAAATGGATTGCGATGGATGTGTGCGGGCGCACCGTGCACCGTCGTCAGCGCGGCACTGAGACAAAAGGTCCAACGACGATTGCCAGGTAAAAAAACGCACAACGAACAGGTATAAACGTCGTCACCACTGCTTCGACCAATAAACTCCGAGTGTTTACGGCCCGATTAATCTTATAACGATGCATAATATTATACATATTATTGTATTATTTAAATATTTTACTTTTATCACAATTATTATAATTTGATTTCTGTGACGTTTAAATATATTATTATATACTATTCCCATCGATTTGTTGTTGTACCGTTCATTGCTGTTGAGTGATGTAGATATTCTATTCAAATTAAATAGGACATTTTGCGTGAATATTATAGTTGTTATAGATATAAGTTAAAAATTGAGGGATAAAACACCATATTATTATATTTTTGTTAATATATATATATATATTTACGTGGAAATGGAAGTCGGCCGACGCACTATATTATGCTCTTTTATGACAATAGAATATTATAATATAAAATACGCATATGTATCGTTGTAACGACATGTGATGGTGAAAGTATTCTTTTGGAAAGGTCACGCAACACAGTGGTTTGCAAGTAGTTTGACCTTTGATTTTTTTGAAGCGACAAAAGTTTACATTAACGCACGATAATTGCTCACAGAAAAGTTACTCATTTTCTGCCCACCGGTGCACAGTTATTATACGTATACATAAAGTAATACAATAACATATAAATGTCCGTCGGTCGGCTGTTGTACTTATGATATTTTCACAAGTACAAAATTACATATTATAGTATAGGTATAGTATAGGTAGGTAACGATATTTCGTTTTTACTTTTTATCCGTCTCACCTGGCAAGCTTCTAATATCGTTGCTATGGTGACGTACGATATGCAGTGCGTTGATTGAAGAAAGGATATTACATTATGGTCGCTAGTACTTGCGATCACCACGATGGGGAGGATGTGGCCAGCGGTGGTGTTGTAATAACAAGTTAAACGATTTAATGGTGTAATTTCACACTGAGCACTTCTTGTAGACGCATAATATGCATGAAAATACGATAGAGATGTTTTTCCCGGGAAATGCACTCTTAGCTTGTCCGGGATAAATGTTCCACGTAAATGCACAGACAGATTTTCTTTATTGGATTATGCAAATCTCTTGCTTTTGGCGTGTCCGCGTCACACAATAAACTAACTCCGGGAATCACCATGACTGGTATAGCTTAAAAAAAACAATAATGATAATAATGAGAACTAAAGTTTCTTTTAAATCACTCGTTTTATTTAGACATGCCAAATCTGAAAATGTTATAAGATTATGTTACAACACTGTTTAATTTTTTTATTAAAGCACCATTGTTATGATGTATTATATTATTTATAATGTTTACCAATACTAATAGTTCTTATCCAGTATGTTCAGATGTAGAGTATTTTAAAACTAATGCTACTGATTTCTGTCTATACTTTTGACCTAGATATGTATTACGATTGCGTTTCAAACGAACATAAAACCAAAAACTCTATGCTAATATTATTTACTAAATAAAACAAAAGTGGTATAGTATATAGTGTTTAAGCCAAAAGCTTGTTTCACCGGTTACTTTACAATCTGACAAAGAAATCGTGTGGAAACGTGATTTGTATCAGTTCCTTTTTTTTTCTACATAGAGTTTCGTTATTTAAAAATATTAAAATGTCACCGAAATCGTAAATCTCAAGGTTTTTTGACAAATTGGTAGGATAACGTCTTCAAGAACTATTAATAATTATGTAGACAAGGATTATAAACATTATAAACACAAATTAATTTTTGTTTTTAATTTCAGTTATATTTGGTAAGACCGACTGTAACGAAATATAATTAAATGATTACTAAAACTAAAAAATAAAAGCTATAGAATTATTTAGGGGTTATAAAAACTATAACTTATCGTATCCTCTTTAAGCTTTATATTACAAAAAAGGGTAAGTCAGTTTTATGTGAATGTTAAATATACACAAGTTTGTTCCTTTAGTATTGATGTATTCTTATTTTTTTAGTTTTTCGATTTTATAAGTTCGCATGTCCTGTATAAATAAATTAAATTAAATTGAAATCGAAGCATTAATAATCATTGAACAGCCAATGTTTTCTAGTGATGAGGTTACCTTTTTTAGTGCTGACCTGTCAGTCTTCAGATGTAAAGTAGGTACCTACGTATCCTAAACATAATTTATTTAACCATATAATATATATGATACGCCATACATTCTATGCATAACACAGTGAAATGGTGTTTAATAACAATAGAACGTAAGTATGTATTTGGGTATTTTTGATTTTTACTATTTCAATATTTATCTTTTTTTTAAAACGAAGAAGGTATAAGTGCCCCCGGAGTTTTAAAAAGTCAACACGTGGTCTAACTGTGAAAGAGAACAATGATCGATACTGATACGATAAAATATTAAAGGTCAATCGTGTTTTGTTCCTCATAAACTAGATAAAATATTTTATTCATTAATTAAGTCATAAATACACTTTTGTATTATCATGTCATAGAATGGTTATTTGACTCTTATTAAAAAATATATAAAAAATACGATTTATGGAATCATAGTCGTAAATAAAACAGTGACCAGTTTTAAAGAATATTTTTTTTAACGCGTGTATTTCATATAATGATTTAATGGTAATATGATTACTATTATTTTGACATTAATGGATTGTCAAAATCTTTATAACACTATGGCTGCAATAGTAAGAAATTTTAATGTATTTGTAAGTTTTCTTGTAATGTGTGTATAACAATATAGGATAAAATAATATTATTTTAGAATGAAACCAGCTTTAGAATTTTATTGACACAACATGTGAGTTCACTAGATTCTTATAGCCCGTTTATTATTCTATTATAATAACTAGACAATAATTTGACAGTTTTTTCTCTTTATAATAAACATATAAACGAAGTAATAACAACATAAATAAATAAAACTTATATTCATTATTTCATCGATATTTTGTAAAATAAATATTTACATTTTATACTGTTACTAGCGGTCACTGCCCCGTGCTCGCTTAATTCGCCGAATTGAGATTTTAAAATTTATAAAAATCTAAATGAGATAATTTAAATATTAGAAATTATATTAACATTTATGTATTGGTTATCATGGTAATCATTTGAGTATTTTACGTAACCAGTACTCAGAAAATATTATTTTGCATTGAAAATAATTTTTTTTAAATTTTATGTTAAGTATAATTTTATACCAATACGTTTTAATAAAGTAAAATAGAATAATCAAAAAACTTAAAATTTAAAAGTTCAAAAATAAAACTTTAAAGTATAAAAGCGAATAAATTACATTAAATGAAACTAATAATTGTTTACGAAATTATAACTGAAATTCTTAAATAACATGTACAGAACTTTTGACTTTAATGCAATCGATAAATTTTAATTTGTTCGTGAAGAATAAATGTTAGTAAAAATATTAAATAAAATGCTTTACACACTAAATCCACGTTACTATAAAATAAGTTATAAATAATAGAATCACATAATTAAAAAATTCGCGTGTTTTTTAAGTTTTTATGTGTTTTTTTGTATCTAATTTAAATAAATTAAGTTAAATTATTGCCTTAAAACCAGTGTTTCTACAGTTCATTTATATTGTGTTTGAAAACATTAATAGGTATGTATCACTATTAAAATCAATATTCAAGTCAATAGTATAATATCATACATATCTATTTTGGTGAATGTAATAATACTACTGGCTATTAAATTATTAACACTAAAGTAAACATAATATTTAATATGTATTTCTTAAGCATAAGATTTTCAAAAACCTAATATATGAAGATAAATAAGTAAATCCATGCCAATAAAAAAATGAAATTATAAGTGTACACAATAATAGATCATTATGATTTTAACACAATCGTAACATTCAATTTTGAAGTTTAATTCCTAAAATATTACTCTATCATACATTTTTAATCATTATAGTTATTTATTAAACAGGGAAATGAGTTAAAGAATTCTATATAACTTCAAAACCTAAAGAGCACAAAAATACTTAAATAATTTAAACTGGGTTTTTTTTTAATAACAATATAGTTTTTTAAACAAATATTTAGTATTTATTTTAAGTATTTTTACTTTATAATAATGTGCTAAAGATAAAAATACTATAGGATTTGAGACGCCCATTTCGCTGTGTTAATTTAAGCGCAATACGTTTAGTGCTGTATTATTTAATTGTTTTTAAAAGTAATTATCAAAATCTGAAGAAAAATTCTGAGTATAACGTAATAATTTTATTACAGCGTTAAAACTTTATATTTAGAAATCTTAAGTTTTAATATAAATTAATTTGATTAATAATTTTCATGACTTTTTTTCGTATATTAATGAAACATTATAGTTATATCATAAACTAGTGTAAAAAAATATGTGTAATAAAATAAATAATTCACGTCTATATAAAACAAACAAATATAATTTTTAATATAAGTAAAAATAATTTTAGGTAAAACATTTTGTACATTTTTAACTATAACACTATGTATATCTAGTTGAATTTTTTCCAATATTTGAAATATTATCAAAATAAAAACGGGAAATTTTAATTATTCCATATAAGAACATATATGTATAAAAACCCTTGTTCAATAAAAAAGATTTTATAAAAGTTTGTTTAATAACTTCATCTGCCACTAAAAAATTAATCTAAGATCCAAAAAATACACACATTTTTAAACCAACTTATTATTACTAAATATCAAATATACTTTAAAAAGTTATACCAAAATATATTTAATGAATACTTTATAATAACTAGCTAAAAAGGTTGAGAACATTTTAACAATATGTGTTCAATTCAGCTTTGTTTTGAAAATTTGAAACATTAAAAACCTAAATTTAATAGATATATCAATATATTATATTATTTAATTTATATTTCCTATTAAATAATATATATCATAGTCAATAATAATACACACAAATCTAAATAATATGTATAAACTTTTTAAATAATGTTATATATAATAATTTAATTTTAAATTAATTTAAAT